TAGGGGCGGATTATTGGCAAGATGCTTCGACAAAATTCTGTAAATAACAAGATTTCCTGGTGCATTTTTTAAAACAGTTTATGGCAAGGTTTTCAGAACACATCAGTCACATTAATTAGCTCGCACCGGCCTCACTGTCAAGTGCATAAGAACTTAGTGTCTAAGTGCAAGGCTACTTGGACCAGAGGTCTTCCGGTCAAACGTATTATAAGCAACGGGAACGAGATCAAGTTAAATGGTCCAATAGCTTTCCTTTCTATTCGGCTTCCAAAAAACGATACCTATTTGGGTAATTCTTGCCCTAAGGTTACGGGTAGAATTCTGTTAGATGCAAAGTGAGACAACGGGAAACATTCCTAATGAACAAACAGCTTTCACAGAGACTGTCTATATCACATTGTTATGACAACGCAGAAGAGCTGAAATCTTGCTTTTGTACAGATTTGGAGGAAAGAAAACCCTAAAGAGAAACCAAGCATATAGAGGTAGTTGAACAGCAATATGGGGGGAAGAAAGCATTATCTTAATTCCCCTTTCAGTTTATTACAGTGCAAGAGTAAAATGGCTGCTTAACGAACAACTGGAATAACAAATACACAGACACATTTGCCACTGTTTGAATGCCTTGCTTGATATTTTAATCCGGGCATTACTGAGGACTGCATAAAATGATGGAACTAGTTTATCTCAGATAAGCCTATGATGCCACATTGACCTATTTGCTCTCCTTTTATTTTGTTGTTGTTTATTGTTGCTGCTTTTACATTAGCTAAACGTTAGGCGACTTTTAACATGACACATAAGCTACAGTGCTGCTTTGTAAACTTCTGTTAATCACATTTGCTGCGACAAATTTTTAAACGGCTACAAAGTCATGAAGCGAAAGCTTTAAAATGACACCAGGAACAGAGATTACAGGCACTTCTCTCTCAAGGTGAACGTAGCGCGTTGCAAAATACCTATTTGTAAGTGAAAACGTCTTCATTTCGACTCTGGATGCGCTCCACCCAGATTATTAAACAGTTGGACAGTGGGAGCTATCATTCTAAGAGGAACTGAATGTGCACATCTTACATGACTCCATTTCCTTCTTTCTCTCTGCACTAAGGAAGGGCCCCAAGCTGTAGCCCCGTGCAGCTGGCTGCTTTTCAGAACTGTTTTCAATCGTAAATCAACCTCGTCCCTCAGGCCCCAGATGGGCTGAAAGAGCTATTCTTTTCCTCTATGGGGGCTGCCTTCCATTTGCATCCTTGCCCCAACCCCTCTGCTATGATTCTGCCTTGATAAAAGGAAACGGATGCAAAGTCAACATGTTGGGAACTCAAGGAACGAGTCCCTGAATAAAACTCCCATCTTGGAAATGGAGTTTGGCAAGGGGCACGCTGTCCCCAGTGGATTCTGGCCCATCAACAGCATGCAGGCTGTGGACAGTACGAGACCTCTGGGTGCTGTGAGCCAGCCTCAGGAGCTCCGCGACTCCCACGGCCAGTCACAGGGGATTATCTGAGCCCAGGCCAGCCCCGCAGGCAGAGCTGGAAGCGCCACACACGCAGCGACTCGACTGGCCCCACGGGGCGGGAAGCAGTCGGCTTTCAGAAAAGGCAAATTCTGGAAATAGTCAGTTCTCTGCCCCCATTAAGTCAGGGGCAAGCACTCTTTTCTCCAGGTTGTCTATAGAAAATTAGCTTTATCATTTTTCATTTTCTACATTTTGCTGGTTATTAGCTAGCAGTGGTAGTACAGTACAAAGCAGAAAGGCATAGTATCTGCCTGGTACCTAATGTGTATACACACACACACACACACACACACATATATATATACATATATATATATACACACACACACACACATACACACACATATACATATATATATACACATATATATATATACATACACAGAAAAAATAATCTAGGTCATGATAGGAAAATTAACCAAATAAATGGCATTATCTACCAAGGGGGAAGTCTTGTACTTCTGGCCTAGATTTAGCTTTATGTCTTTTCTCCGTATTCTCTTCAAACCCAAGCTTTGCAGCAAAACCGATTTATAAGGGGCGAAAATGGCCACATTCACCTGACTGCCCCATTCAAGTACATCCCACAGAAAGCCGAGGCTTAGCCTTGCACCCTGCCTCCCACCACTGCTGAAACCAGAGCTTGCTATAAAATAACCCAAACGTCTATTTAGGCCACTGAACGTACAGGGCAACTCTGTTCCAGCCAAGATCTACGTTTGCTGGAGTTAGGTGCTCACTTACCGACATGGAACATTCTAGGATGTGGAACTTTATTTAAAGAAAAAAAAAAATCAAACTTCCCTTTCTACCGAGATTAAGTAGAAATGTGTGTGAGGTAACTGAATTTTATTGAGCCTGCAGCTTCCATCTGAACTGTGAGCTTCTGGGGAGCTTTGGTGACTCAGTTGCCATGCCTGTTTAATACAATTACGTGCAACACAAACTGTTTAAAATGTTAAACATATGCAAAGGAAGGGGTTCAACGTCAATCTTGGCTATGCTAGTAACTGCTTAACTGTGCTATCTGGACAAAGTATTTAACACCACAGAACCTCAGCCTTCTCATCTGTGATACTGGGCATGATAACTGATCTCACAGGGCTGCTGTGCAGAATAAGTGATTTAATGAACTCACATATGTGAAATCGCCTGGCTCAGTACCTGGTACACAGCAGGTTCAAAATAAATTTGTTGGGGCAGCATAAGGAAATCCCATGAACTAAGCACAGAAGTCAGACTGTGAAACCCATTCACCCTGGCACGGCCAAGATTTTTAATACTTTTTGGAGAGCAAGGAGGGATGAGCTGGTTATTCTAATGGAGCTAGAACTTAAGGCTTCCATTATATTGGGAATTCTAGACCTCCAGACAGCACTGCTTTTTAATCTTATTGGAACAGGGAAAACTGGCTGGCCCAGAAGCCTCCCTTGTCTCTGACCCTCATCTCTTCTCGAGTCTTTTCGTTTTCCCAAACAGACGTGGCTCCAAAAGGAATTAACTGTAAAGCATCAAGTTATGGTCCGAAAATCAGCGGTGGGGATCTCCCCAACCAAGTTTAAAGGGGCAGATATGGGTACTGCATGGAAAGGCAGTGTTTTATGCAAGTGTGGGCCCCTGATGATATTCCGTAACTATGAACAATCTAATCACAGCTATTATTTTTTGGATGTCTCCTAGGTGCTAGGCACTGTGCTAAGCGATTTACATACGTTACCTCATATAATGTCCGTTAACATCCCTACACGGGGCATTGGTCACTACCCTTTGCTAGATGAGGAAACTGGGGCCCAGAAGAAGTTCAATCACAAGGGAACACATCTACCAAGCGCAGATGTTTACGACCTTTCCTCTGCTGCATTTACACGAGATGACAGGAAACTATTTCACGAGGACTGTGCTCTGACCTTCTGGCTGGCTGGGCACCGAGCCGGAAGAGGAACGCTTAATTCCCTGCTCCCCGAGCCCTGCAGAGCTTGCTTGGGCAGTAACCACGCCTATACGTCCATTCTTTGCCGGCCCAGTCTGGCTGCGAACATCAAACCTGGTAACACAACACAACGCTCTGACAATCCAGCACCCATTTAGCAAGTTCAGAAGGGATCATTTGGTTTCAGCTTACGTGGATCACGTCATACTCTCTCCTCTGTTTCTGGCTGCAGGTAGTGGGAAGAAGTCAGGTCGATTCCCTGAGGCACTCACCTCTCCTCGAAGGAGTAGACGGGCTGCGCTGGGTCCGTCCAAGGATCACGTGGGGGGAATAGTTTGCACGATGGTACGGATGGCGTGATTCACTTCTCGCCTGCCCTAATCTCCTCACGCCGTCGTTGGGACACCCCCCCCTCCTCACAGTCTTTTTCAGGTTCTCCTGGCACTGACAGAACCACACTAGCACTAAGCAAGCTAAACAAGGGCTCCCTCTTACATTCTTACCCACTGTTCTTCCCCTACGTTGAAATCTTTGGCCCGCGGCAGCTAGGAGGGAAGGCAGCATTTAGCTAAAACCACAGGTTCGTCGTCTGTTTCCTTTAAAAAGATGTACGAACCCGAAAGACAGCGTGTCTGTGTTTTTAAGGGTTCTACTGTCTCTACTGGCTTCTTTCCGCCTTCAATGACCGGCAGCCCTTCATGTGTTTTCATACGCGCCAGCCAGGTAACTAACCCTGGGGAGAAGGGAGAGACCCTTCTGATTAGATTGCTGAAAATAAATGCCTAAAACAGATCACTCACAAACGACGCCCCTCTGAGTCACCTCTTCATTCAAGAGCAATCATTCCTTCGGCCCTGCTCGGTGTCCCACCCAGAAAATGGATTGTTTTCCTTCACCCTGGCCTATTCCATAACGCCTGCCAAATCGCTTAGGTATTTTATATTGTTGAATTCCAAACGAAAGCAACACGGAACCCGTGACGGGCGACGGTCTCGGCGTGATTCCGAACCTCCTTTACACATCCAATGGGACAGATACAAAAACGGTTCGCAAACCGGGATCAAACACAGCAGAATGTGTTTAAAGCAAAAACAGCACGTTGCTAGCATTGCTCCTTCCCCCTGGGTAGATGGCAAACCACGTTAATAAATAAAGCGACTGGCTCTTCAGTAACGTACACTTAAACAGTTACAAACAGACAGGTAGAAAAAAGGGATACAGTGGTGCCAAAAAAAATAAATTATGAAAACGGAAAGGATGAACATTCTTTTCTACACAATGCCGTATAAAACCCGAACCATCTGGAATGAGAACCCAAGTCCGTGAAAATAACGCAGCAGCGTTACCAGAATGTGTGCTTCACATTTCAACTACACATTTATCTGTGCAAGAAAGAAAATGAAAGCAAAACCATTTTAAACTTCCAGAAAACTGGATGTCAAAAATCAAATGAATTTTTTTTTTTTCTGGGCTCTTAAACACCTCTGCTGAGCATGTAGTTGTGCAGCATGTCAAGAAGCATCTTCAGCCAGGAAGTTTCAAACAGGCCCCGTGCTTCTGGCCTTTCTACACGATTCCTCTCTGCGATCAACAGCAGGGAAATGCCTGTTTGATACTTCCTTCTGTTAAGATGTTATTGCAGTTAGATATATTTACAAGATGACTCCCCCAAGCCGGCAGGGAGGGTGGGGGCTTCTCCTCAGCGATCCACTCTCGCTAGTTTTGGTTCCGGGATATAAAGGCCAGGACTCGCCGAATCCCATTCAGTCTGTCCTTCAAGGACCTCATCGCTAGGAACGGGAGCTGAGCTCGGCTTTCCAGTGGAAGAACCGCTAATGTCCACCAGCACCAGGCTGGACCGTTCGGGCTCACCTACAACAGAGAAACACACGGCTTCACCCCACTCCCGCAGAAGTGAGATCGGCCTGCAGGTTTCCCAAGCTGCAAGGCAAACATCCCAGGTGGAACTGCTTCTGTGTCGGGCAGACGGCTAGTTACCCCCACGTCTACGTCCCCCCTTCTCTGAGCTGGGCATACAGCCACCCAGAAGACAGAGACTGCGCGGCAGCGAGGGGCGGCCACGAGACAAAAGTTCCGGCTAATGAGATGTAAAGGGAAGGGACGCCCGAAACCTCGGGGCCATGCTCTGGGAAGGGGGCATGTGCCTCCCGCCTCACTCTTTCTCTCTTGCCCCTAGCTAGCGTGTGAGCACGGTGGTGACCGGCCTTCTTCTATCGGGAAGACAGGGGTAACATTCTAAGGATGATAGAGCTTTGTGATGAAGGAGACTGGGTCGCTGAATGATCTCATGGGACAGAGCTGCCCTAGCCCTCTACCTGGTTCAAGCTACGGCCATGTTTAGTAGTTGTTAAAGCAAACACATCGGTGTCCTAACAGATACACTATACTTCCCAGCCACTGCTCAGTCTGGTCCACTTCCAAGATTCTGTTCAGGTTCTCAGGACGGACACCTGACAGCATATGGGCCTTCAATTCCCATGATCCCTTGGGCTTGGCAGGTCTCTTAACGCCCTGTATTTCCCTGCTTCTGGCCGCAGGCAACATAGTCCACGTACGCCATGTCGCTGTACAAGGCCACAGCGAGCCTCTCCTCTGAAACCGGAGCCTGTGGTCCACAGCCCCAAAGCACAGCAACCCCCCTTTGCAAACATTCCAGTTTGAGAACACATTCATGTCAGAAATGTATTACGTCCCCAGGTTTCTTTCTAATGAGGAGCTTTCCCATCCCACATGAATCCTTCACCGAAATTCTGTCTGTCAGCAGCTTCCCAGCCACACGTTTTAAGACACTGGTGACTTACTTCCTATGGAGCCTGAAACAATCACAACTTTCAGAGGGTTGGTTTAGGACTGTGGAGAACCACCTTCTGGTCAGACCACCTACACATGGGATTATCTGCCTCCAAATGGGTTCACCTGGTTCTTCCCAAACCTTGCCGTCTTCTTGGCTTGTCTGTGCCTATAGCTTCATTTGAATTTTTTTTTTCTTTTTTGTCCCTCACTGTGATCTGTAACAGGCTCTCCATCCTATTATTAGTTCTGAATATGAAACTGACATATTCTAAACTTTCTTTCCCAGGGCCATTAACAAAGATATTTAAGCTGATGTTAACACTTGTGGCTGCTTCTGAGAAGCCTCCTTCTGAGGCTTAGAACATTCTTATTAATGGCACCGCTGGGGCTGCAGCACTGACTGGATCAAACTGGATGATTTTTTTTTTTTTTTTTTTTTTTTTTTGCGCGACTGCTGCCAAAGCAACGTGAGAACAGTTCTAATAAGAAAGGAAATGAACCAAGATTTCAACTTTCTGTGTCATCGAGCCCTTATGAATCACTCTGTGGCATCTGTGTTTTCTCTTATGAAAGCTGCTGTATCATTGCTGATCGCTACCTTCTGCCTGACTGAGGGAGAATGCTCTCCAGAAGGTGAAGGGGAACATTAAACTTGATCATGAGCTTGCTCAGAGCTCTGATGTAGTCCTGAGTCATAGTGGCCCAGAGCCAGGAGCTGGGTCACTGGGAAGCACTGACTGGCCTTGCTCCCTTCAACATTCACGATGCCTTTGCATGGAGGCAAAGGAGCCACCTTTGCGGTCTGGAGAGAGTGAGACATTTCAGCCCATCAGGGAACAGACTGGTGTTCTGTAGCCACAGATGCAAGAGGAAGAGGGGACGTTAGAGACCTCCTCATCCACCTCCCTCATTCCAGAGCTGGGAGACAAGTTGAGAAAGGGGCGGGTCTTACCCAAGGTCACACAGCTAGAGCGGTAAGGATCAGTCTGTTGGCAGTGAAATCAGAACATACACATTCTTACTACTGTGACAGAGTCAGGAACGAGTGTAAGTAAAGAATCAAGGAAGTCACGGAGGTGATGATGTAGGGGAGCCAGCTCAGAATGCAGGAAGGGCGACGGTGGGCAAATACTTGACTAAGTTGTCTCCAGCCTTGTCCTAGAGAGACAGTATTGTCCGATCTATCAGGCAACCAAAGTTGGGTTGGTGAAACTCAACTATCTCCACTTGCCTGAAGAGCTTCCGATCTGCAGCTTGATCTCTCAAGTGGGCCTGTCCCCCCAGGAAACAGACTTGACCCAGTAGCACCTAATCAACTGCTTTCTGGTATAACTCGGCAAAGGGCAAATTTAAAGATCGGGTCTGTTTGCTCAGGACCTGCTCACCCCTGATGAGGACAATGACAAGGGTCTACATCTGCAGGGCTAAGCAGGGAGGGACCCAGAGAGGAGAAGGTGCTGCAGTCTGGCAGCTGGAATCCTGTAAGGCGACTGGTGCCGTCTCCTAGCTCCTGCAGCAATGGGGGTGACGGTTATGAAATAGAAGCCTTTAGTCTCAGCTCCCGGGATACCCTTCTCTTAAGCTTGGCCTTTGTGTGAATCTTGTCACCCCAACACATTACCATGGTGTGAACCTGGACTCCCACTGAAGGTTCTTTGGTGGATGGTGTCTATGTTCCCAATCTCTCACCTGACTTATGTCTCAAAGCCTGTCTGGGATCCAAGTTCCTACTGCTTTCCTTTATCACTCCAATTCTGACTTCAGATCCTTGAGTCTTACCCCTGATGCCCACTGCCCGGTGAAACAGTACCAAATTGGATCTATCTCCCCCTCTGCACTCGATCTGCTGAATGGCAACCATGCACCCACCCAATCCCAAACCCTGGGCGCTCTCATCTGCTGGGGGCAGCCCATTACAGAGAGACATTTTTATATACCTGAGGATCAGCATCTTTCTCTGGCATTGGACCAAAGTGATTGAGTATCCGATTCTTCAAAGAGGTTTTGAGCGAATGAAACCATGATGACGCTTGCTCATAGACACAGTTATGTAATCCCATGAGCTCAGCCTGATCCTCTCCTTGAACCTGAAAGTATCAAAGTGGAAATGAAGCACTCTGTCCCTTCTCCATCACTCCCAAAGCTTCTGCTGACACCAGACTCCCTTCGGGCATCCGGCCTGCGTCCCTAGGAAGGTTCGCCCACCCAGCTTTCTCCTGTGTGGTGTGTGAAAGGCTCCTCAGCCAGAGGGTGGGCTGTGTGTGACTACTGCTGAGTGCGGAGGAAGAAGAAAGTTTCCGCCGGGCGCATTAGCTGAAACAGCAAGATAGACTGAAAACCAGAGATGCGAACTGGCCTGAGTGGAGGCGTGCTGTTGAGCTCGCTTATGCTAGCTTATGCCTCTCTCCTTTTCACGTTTCATATCTGCTTTCCCAGTGTCCACTGGGAAGAGGGACACAGGTGTGTCTGTTTCTCACTGTGTAACTCTATTTCCTAAGTCCAATACCTTCATTCGTCGATCGAACATTTACTAACCTTATACTATATGGTGAATGTAAATATAAACGAACGTGGGATTATTTACTTCTTGTTCTTCCAATTAGTCCAGAAAACCAAGGATGAACTGGACACGTTATCTTTCTCCTTGATGGGATGACGCATTATAGGGAAGAACCCTTAGCCGGGTCGCGCATTTAAAAATACAAACGTACGTGTGAATCTACAATCATCTCAAGATGAAATGTTTGAAAACATAAACGAATTGGTACATAAAATACGTGGGTGTAGCTATCACTCCCAGATCTATCCCTTGGTATCTCTGGCAGAAACCTGACCCCTGGGCTGAACGGGCCCCAGGGTTGTTGATCTGGCTTGGCATTTCTTATGCAGGAATACGACTCAGCAACTAACCAGGGGGAAAGCCAGGGCACGGGGTGCTCCTGCTGCCATCCTACAATCGAACGGCAAGCCGGCGGCATTCGATGTCGCTGCAGCCATTTGGTGAGAAATCCCAAGGCCCCCCGACAGCGCTGAGCAATTCTTCTGCAAACACCTTTGCCCGCCAAGCTCCAGGGATAGCCTGGCCCTGGGATTCTTGGCACGGGCCACCCTCACCTTTTGGTCTTCAATGTATTCAATGTCGGCTGTATTGTAACCATCTCGCTGGCCCTGATGGAGGACCCTGAAGCGCCTCTTGCCTACGCTGTCCACCACCGAGCGGCCATCAGCAAAGAACTGAACATTTCTGATCTCTAGGATGCAGCCATATTCCGCAAACCTGCTTATTGGGAATGCGTAAGAAAGTACATTTTTGGTGAGTTGTTTCTGCGGCCTGGCTCCCCAGCCGTTTCTGTAACCCCGGGCTGTGCCTCCAGGGACTTCTGCCTATTTGCCTGTCCCGGGGGCTACAGCTGCAACTACACCACAGGCAGCACCTGTGCCAAGAAAAATCTTCCTGTAATAATGTAACTGCTCCCATTCATTGAGCATATACTGCGTGTGGTGTGCTCAGTGCTTTACGTGCATTAACGCACCAATCTTCCCAACACGCCCGCTATCATTGTACCCACTTTACCGATCAGGAAACTGAGTCACAGAAAGGTTAAGTGACTTGCCCAAAGGCAAACTTGCTCCAAGGTTGGAGCCGGAACATGAACCCACGCACGGGACTCCAGGTCCCGCGGTCTTACAGTAAAACAAGTTTTATGGTATATACCGCTCGTTTAACAAAAGATTAATCCTTGGGGTTCCTTTAAATAGGCAGCCTGTTACATGGTAAACCAGGGGCCAGAGAGACCCCAGTCTCTATGGGTGCTCACGGTCGTGAGCTGGCTAAATCTCAGGAGCTGTGCCTCCCTATCTCCTGGGGGCACCCCAAATAAGCCCAAATCCCTCTCTACCCAACCTCCATTTACTCACGTAGCTCCTCACTTACCCTTTGACAGGATCTCCAAGGCACATGCCAAACTGTCTTGTACCTGTTTCGATGCATCTACGGATCATCAGACGGTAACAAGGCTCAAAAATGTGCAGGGGACAAGGAACCGTGGGGTAGGCCATAGTGCACACGAAAATAGGCACGTTCTTATTCAAGCTGTCAGGAAGAGCAAATGACAGATTTCTCAAAGCCGTGAAGCAGAACACAAAAAGGTTGGTCAAATGTCACTTTGTGGTTCCCCCACAGTAAGGCCAGGGGACCTCAGGTTTTGATGGCTGATTAAAAAAAAAAAAAATACTGAGATGCAACCAACACTATGGGCTAAGTCCCATTACTGGTGCAGAGGTTAGCCTAAGAGCTAAGAGATTGAAACTGACATTCTGTACATTCCAATTTGGCTTAAAAAACATCCTCTAGTACCTTCACATTGTGGGTGATAGTTAAACCTCATAGTTCTTTCTTCCTCTCGTGCCCTCTACTCAGAACAATCTCTTCAGGTGTCCTGCTGGCAGTAAAAGCGGACCCAGCTCTCCAGGGGGACGGTGGGAAAATCTCTGCAAGGTCTCATCAGCATTACAAATTTGCAAAGCCCCCAGAAGGTCTGCTCGGCAGGCCTGGCCGGGAGGAGGAGGAGGGAGCAACAAGAGAGGCAAGTGTCCTCTAGCCCAGTGACGTTCCCATGCGTCAGAATCACTGGGGGCCCTTAAATCCAGACAACTGGGCTGCATCACCCCAGAGACACTGGGATATAAGGTCTGGAGCCGGGACCCAGGGGTCTACCCTTCGAGTGTCCATGAAGAAGCAGGCACACAGCCTGATGGGAAACTACGCCAATGGGGCCAGCTCCTCCTGGATCACTGTTCTCTTCTTGGCTAAATCCAATACTGGAACTTATCAATGGATACAAAACCATCTGCCCAAATCCCCCAGAGGATTCAGTTTAGGATTTCTTTAAAGAGAAATCCCTCTTGGCATATTCCAGTGTTTATTAATAAAGCATTAAATGATATTTGAGACAAGGGCTCAGAGAGACTCGCGGTGAATTTAAGAATCAGAAGTAAAAATAAAGATGCCCTGACTAGTAAGTCAATGAGAACAACAGGATTTAGTTTCTAGCTTCTCAGGAAAACACAGTATTCGAAGCGAGAGGCCCACTCAAACGAACCAGTGGCAGTTTAGAAATGTGCTCTACAGGGCGGGCAGAAAACCAGAGCAGCTTTTGCAATCGGGAACCTGGCCCCCAGAATGCTGCGAGGACCCTACTGGGGATCCGGAGGTGGGAGGGCAGCGGTATGAGACGCAGAAGTGAGAGAACGCCTCCTGCTGTTTCTGCTAGGCGGTCTGTCCTTCCAGCCAGGCAGAGAGCTTCGAGCCCTACGGGCACCTCCAGACTCACCCCTCAGCCACAAATGTGCATGGCAGAGGACGCGTGTAACAAGAAACAGCCTTACTCTTACCACGTATTGAGTGCTTCCTGTGCGCTAGCTCATGTGATCTTCCACATGAGGTAAGGACTTCACTATTCCCAAGCTACAGATGAGGAAACTGAGGCCCAGAGAGGTCAAGTGACCTGCCTAAGGTCCTGAAGGATACTCGCTTTGTGGCAAAACTGGGTCACGAGCCCAGGTCTGGCTGACACCAAGGTTCTTAACCTCCCAGCACCTTCTGAGGTTTCTGCAAACAACCTTCCGCACGCTGTGTAAGTTCCCCTGATCTAGCTGCTTCGGTTTGCTCCTACCAGTGACACCCAGTTACTAGCGCCAAGACGTTGACCTGGTCGGTGGTTTGGCTTACGCGTCTTCAGGGGCGTGCTGGCAACTGCCGAACAACTGGCTGTCGGCGGGTGGAAAGCTCCGGCTCATAGCGATTGCCAATTTCTATATAGTGTAGATACGCCCACCGAGGCCAACATCAAGCTACCAGCATGATATTGCTAAGTGAGCAGTTAGGGAGAAACGTGCACATTCAGTTCTACGAGCTGGTATGAGTGAAACTGAAAAGAGATGCATATACGTACTTAGAAAGTTCTTCCATTTCTTCTTCATAAAGCCGCCTGCGTTCCTTGAATTCTTCTGGCAGGAATTTAGCTATTAGCTCTTCCATTATGACATTTTTGCTATATTTTCTGGATGCCAAGCACTATAGAGGCAACAGGGCACCGAGACATTATGCAGCCATCAGAAAACCACAAAGCACTTCTCATGTAACCAGCAGAACAGCTGAATCAACCACACATTGAGAGTAATTTGGACCCACACATTAGCAGCTGGTAACATCATCACGCACGTATTCTCTGGATGTTACATGCGATTACTTTTATAATTAGAAAAAAATACTTTAACAAGGGGAAAAGACCCGCATTGAAGTTTCAAAAGTTTAGCTTTCCCAAAACACTCAAGTTGAGATTATGTTCTTGTCAAAAAAGGGGGGAAACCCTTCCTTTTCCTTTTATTGGTTACTGCATTTACAAGCTGGCAAAAATGGTCTCCATCTGGGATATGCTGGAAGTCTGTGGTCTAAAGGTTCAGGGAACGAGAAAGCCACTGTCCATCACTGATCTTTTCCTGACCTGTCCCACCCCCGCCCCGCCCCGCCCCACCTCAATGCTTGGCTTCTGGATATTGCCAGTCTAAATATTTTTCCCCCTCTAACTTTAGCTGAAAACAAAACAAAACAGCTAAATACTGGGGATTGTGTCTATTTGTTTTTTAAATATACCATCTAGGTATCACTGAAATTATGTTATAAGCCATGAATTCAGAAACGAACTCAGGCCCGAGTGTCACTATTACTATCCTCCCAAACACCCCTAACTAACTTCATGCATATCCAGGGATCCGTAGGTAGAGGGAATTGAGCTGTGTGAACCAGACCACAGGAGTTAAAACATCTGCGAATTGTTTGCTACGGACACTACCCACACAGACCCAGCAGGGGGAGCTCCTGAGTATAAAATTGCTGGTTCGAGACTATTTTTCCTTTCCCAGTATGGGCTGTGTGTGTCTATTCTGCAGTGAACGCGATTAGAATAAAATATTTATCTCTCTTGGAAATGGTGTAAGCGCGACCCTGTGTGAACACGCAGAGATAGACGAGAACATTTTCTGGGACCCCACAGCATCTGCTTCTAGGATGCCTTCTCAGCCACTGCCATCGCCTGGCTGCAGAAGATCCACTGCTTTGCCCCGTCCCAGTCTTTGGAGAAAAGCAATGACTCGGGAGGTAGCTATTCCATGGAGGAGGTGACTCCCCCACTGATGCTAAAACAAAAGCCCAGGACAGGCACACGGTAAAATGTTAATGGTGGTTTTCTCCAGGTGCTGAGCATACGGGTAGGTTTTTCTTCTTTCTGCTTATTTGGATGTTGTAGTGTTACCACAACACAGATGTATATTTAAGTATAAGGACCGTGGGCCTCTCCCCCACAATCAGGCCAGGAAAATCCCACCCCTTGATCGAGGCAAGGGATGGCAGGGACCCTCCCCTCCAACCCAATACACACCCCAGGGTCGTCCTGGATGATCATTTTATTCCATTCTCTTAGTTTAAACGTTCAGGTGTTGGGAAAACTCAACATGTGACTTCACTGGACCTACATTCACCTAGAGGGTGTCCTGCATCGCTGAGCTCTCCTCAGGGATGACAAGGGTCAAGGAACATTAACACTGGCTGTGATGTGTGCCACACAAGTCCTTGGGGGAGGGAAAGCAAGGTGGGTTCCTGGGCATTCCTGTGCTATAGGAAATTCCATTGGGTCCACCTGAAAAACGATGGTGGCAGTCCGTGTGGCTCATCTGAAAGGACTTGGAAGCCCCAGAGCTTTCCAAGTGGCTAAATATCTGCTAATAAGTACAGCAGCTCTGGGGGGGCGGGGGGCGGGACAAGGACCTCGCTGAAGGTCTGCGAGGTTTTTCTGGGGACCTGGGAGTGATCTCTGCAAACCACAGAACAAACATGGATGACAAGAAGATTTCAGAGCTCATCTAGTCCAATCCCAGAGAGGACAGAAGATTCACCCAAGATGGCAGTGCACCAGGTGCCATGATGGATGGGCTTAGCACCAGGATCCATGTCTGCCATCGATTTAATACTTTTGTTTCCAACACAAATTAATTTCACTGTTGACAGTTCATAAAAAGCTGGATGTCGCCTCATTTTCCTGAAGGACTTGGCAAAGAGGGGAGGGGCAGCTGTAAGACGGGAAAGATAGACAGGTGGTGTGAGAGGGTATTTTTCCCTAGCACAGTGCACTGGCTTAGGATCAAACAGGACACCATTTTAGCATCCAAGTCCACATAATCTAACCTAATCAAGAAAGAAATAATATTTTACCTGCGAAAGACCATCTTTGCACAGCGGACACTTTGCATTGTGATCTAGGCATCTTTCAAGGCATTTTAAACAAAATGTATGACCACAAGGTGTTGTGACTGGCTCGTAGAATAATCTGAAATTTAGGAATCAAAATGGAAGAAAAATGATGCAATCAGACAAAAAAAAATAAAAGAGCTACTCAGTGTTATTCGGAAAATTCCGTGTGTGCAAGGGTGGGGGAGGGTCCTTTCTTTTTTACCAGAATTCCCTGCAGTTGCTGTGCTTCAGAAAAGCATTTGCTTTTTATTTCTGAGCTGGATTTGAAAATAATGCATTTATCACCATTTCTGATATAGCTAGATCATTCTGTAACATTAGTTCTAGTCAGCCTCTTCCGACTGGCATCCAGATTGTTTTTCCCTGTCAGGTCTCAGAAAAAGCGAGATTAATGCCCAGAGGGTCTAAGTAGATTACATTCTAAAATATTTAGCCAACCTGTTCGCCTGAAGATATGTAAACACAGAGACAGATAAGCACACGCACAGACACACACACACTCCGTCTCACACATTCATTCATTTAAGTACCTTATATCATATACACAACGGAAAAAAGACTTGGCTTATTTGCTAACCTTCATTCCATTTTTACCTAAGCGATGTTTACTGCCTGAAGGATCCCGAAATTGTGCCTGCAACAAACACGTAACTGCCTTTTGTATGAATGGATCATTTTCTTGGGGCCAGTAGAGTAATTCTGTCAGTGTGCTTACTGATGAACACATACATATAAACATATGTAGGTATGCACACATGCACTTCAATTAGATCCTATTTTAATTCCTTTACAGGAGCCGGCTAATTTCAAAGCAACGTGGGGAATCTTTTTAAAAGCCGTTCTACCCATTCAGAGATTCACAGATTTACTTTGCTTTTGGAAAAAGAAAGGCTCACCTGCAGCAGGACCACCGGGTGGGGGCAGCTGACGACGGTGGTTCAGAAGTGGGGCTGGCGCTCACCAAGAGGACAGACAAAAGGGAAAGACAGACGCCTGACCAGCCTGTTTTGACCTCACCAGTGTTCAGTTGCGAGGAAGAGGCCGCCAGCTGCACAGCCCCCTCGTGTGGCCGGGAGGTGTACCAACAGCCTGGCCCACAGGGCCAGGCTGAGCAGAATCAAAATGTCAGAGCTGAAAAGTACTGGAGAGAAAAACAACCCACCAACCAGAATGAAACTGAGCTCCAGAGGGGACAAAGCGGCTCATCTGTTGGCAGATGAAGGTCTATCCAACTTCCACTAGCAGTCGTGTGCTCTTTCTGTTAAAACCGCGACTCTCGACCCTATTCGTGTGTGAGAATCACCTGGGGCGCTTTTGCTTTAAACAGCTTTACTGATGTCTAATTGACGTGCAATAAACGGCACGTACTTACGGTGTACAATCTGATAAGTTTTCACGTACGTACACACCTATGAAACTATCTCCGCAACCAAGGTCACGAACACACCCATCGCCCCCAAACATCTCCTCGCGTGCCTTTGTAAACCCTACCTCCTGCTCCTCCCCATGCGCCCTACCATCACCTGCAGACCTTTGAAAAACTACAGGTGCCAGGACCACGCCTGCAGAGGTTCGGGTCAGTTGGTCCAGGGCAAAGGCCAGGCATCAGGATTATTATTTTTTTTTTCTTTTAAAGCTCCTTGGTGGTTTGAATGTGCAGCCAGGATTGCGAATCACTGTATTTCACAATCCTACTAATCTCCGCATGGGCAAATCCTCTGTACAGGTCTCCAAACCTAATTACCAAATCTACCAAGGAAAAGACTAGCTAGCAGCTGCTGGCACATTCCCCTCTTTCTTGATTTAAAAAAAAAAAAAATTCTAGTGGAATTTGAGGGGAAAGCATCTTGTGGGAAAGGAAAGAACAGTTTCTTAAGAGAAATCAATTTCGATTTAACAAGCTCTCCACCAAACAGATTCTCACTTGTCCACTCAGCAAAAGTGCTCCGGGTGCCTACTGCGTGCTGACGCGGAGCTAGGCGCCGGCACGTGACAGGGACAGGGTGCACCGGACTTGTAGGAGGTGAGAGGACAGACGTCGAACAGGATGTCGGAAAGGTGAGGTTTCGCAAGTACACGCCTGTACGAATAAAACTTGCTAAAATGTTGAAATTAAGCCAATGAAGGTTTGGAGTAGGAGGGAGGCTTTTCATAGATTCACTTTTCCTCCTTTTTGAATGTTTCAATCCTGTTTTATTTTTTTTTATTTTATTTTTTTTTAAATTTTTTTCAACGTCTATTTATTTTTGGGACAGAGAGAGACAGAGCAGGAACGGGGGAGGGGCAGAGAGAGAGGCAGACACAGAATCGGAAACAGGCTCCAGGCTCCGAGCCATCAGCCCAGAGCCCGACGCGGGGCTCGAACTCACGGACCGCGAGATCGTGACCTGGC